TCAACTTGACCATTTGCTTGCGGTTGCGACTAAGGCAAATTTCTTGTAGATACCTAGCTCGTCGCAAAACTGTTTGAATTCCTCGTTATCAAACTGCTTCCCATTATCAGATATGAGAGTATGAGGAATCCCATAGCGGCACACAATGTTTTTGAAAACGAAATCCTTGAGCTTTTTGGTGGTGATCGCGGCTAATGGCTCTACTTCGACCCACTTGGTGAAGTACTCCACCGCGACCACCACCACATGCTTGACTCCCCCTTTACCAACTGGCATGGGACCAATGAGATTGATTCCTCATATGGAGAATGGCCAGCGGCTGGTCATGGTTATCAGCTGGTGGGAAGGAGCTCGCTGTATGTTCGCGAACCGTTGGCACTTGTCACATTTTTTGACAAAGTTGTAGGTGTCTTCTTGGATCAGGGGCCAATAATATCCTTGACGAATAACTTTGTTGGCGAGAGATCGTGCGACTGTGTGATTATTGTAGATCCCTTCATGTATCTCTCACATGATGTAGTCTGCTTCTTCGTCGGTTACACATTGAAGAAGGAGTGTGTTAAACCCTCGCCTATACAGCTGGTCTCCTATTAGCGTGTAATGAGCAGCTCTTGTTCGCATGGTCCTTGCTTCGACCTTGTCGTTGGGCAAGATCCCATCTCGGAGATACTGAATGATAGGGGTCATCTAGGAAACTGATTCTACCATATTCACGGCCTGTTTGGTTAAGCTGATACTGGGAGCCTCTATGAACCGAACAGGAATACTTTTCGGTGCTTCTGAGCAACTCCCCCAAACTTAATCCTTTGTTCGTCCCCGAGTAAAGAAAATATCAGAAAGATAAACTCAACAATCATCAAGGATTCGCAGCATTCCCAAAATCAAGGAAAAGAAAACAAACATGCTTTAAATAATATTCATGCTACCAAACATACAACCAAGCTAATTGTGCAACTCTAATCTTTCCTCAACCCGATCATGCCTCACCAAGACCTTATACTCAACCCCCTACTTATTTTCTTCTTCTTATTTTTTTTTTTTTCCAATAGCTTCCTCAGATTGTCACATTACCTTTTTACACGAATGCACACATTTGTGATGAGTGCCCCCGGTTACTCAACAATGTCACAACACATAAAGTGCTTTGCATACTCATAATTCAAGCTATGGTTTGACGCTCCTCCCTAGTTATAAGCATCTCGAAACAGCGAGTAGTTCATTTCAAAAACAATAAATAACGATAGTTAATTTTTTCAAGACTGTATTTATATGATGTTTTTTTTTTTTTTTTTTTTTTTTTTTGGGGGGGGGGTGGGGGGGGGGGGGGGGGGGTTGGGGGGGGGTGGGGGGGGGGGGGGGGGGGGGGGGGGGGAGGGAGTGAAGATAAGGCTCAGCTAGTCCACAACAAAGTCAAGTAAATAACCAGAATTTGCACAACCATCTAGAATTGCATACTCTTCAACATTCCTAAAGATATGAGCATGTTTGAATCCTATCAATGACTTGATATTACACTACCCAAATGATACAAAGTTCATCACAAAAGCAATTTTTTTTTGTACTTGTTGTGGATACACACAGTTCTTTGGGGATATCACAAAGTTTCGTTCGGGATTGTATCAAAAGCACAAGCATAATAACTACCATGCAACAAATAAAAAATACAAACCAAAAACACACAAATAAAATAAACACTTCCTAAAAACAAACCCACCAAACAAAAGAAACAGACTATCAACAATGCAACATAAACCAAACAACAATGCAACACAAATCAAACTGCTCACTCCCCCAAATTGAAAGAATGCAATGTCCTCAATGCATGAAAAACAAAAACCAAAATAGAAAATATGCAAAAATAAAAGATAGAAACTTCCCTGAAAAAGACGAGATTTTTTTTTTTTTCATGACCACGGCTGTGTAAAATGACACAGGGTACCCCATGGTATAGGCTGGAATCTGCAAGCTTTTTATGTTTTAAAATGGTCACGGCTGTGTAAAATAACACAGGGTAGCCCATGTTTTATTCTGCTCAAAATTGTCTTCTTCTTCTATCACTTAAGCTTCCCCCAAACTTGTTCCTTGTTCCAACAATAATAAAACAAAAATAAAAACAAAATCAAACAAAAATAAAATAAAATAATTGTAAAAGAGAGAAAAGAAAAGAAATTGATAGTTCTAATTTAGAGTCGTTAGCTTGACTTTCTCCACTTTCTTCATTCAAGAAATTGGACGGACACTGTGTTTGGATCGAAACGTCCTCCAACATAGTGCTTCAAACGATGTCCATTAACTTTAAACGTTTCACATGTCTTTCCATGGTGGATCTCAATTGCTCCAAAAGGTGTTACCTGAATTACCTCATATGGACCCGCCATCTTGATTTCAGCTTCCTGGGAAAAGACGAAGATGACTATTGTAAAGAAGAACTTGCTGTCCTGGCTTGAACTCCTTTTTCACAATGTGCCTATCATGCCATCTCTTTGTCTTCTCCTTGTACAAACTAGCACTCTCGTATGCCCAATGACGAAATTCATCTAGCTCACTCACTTGCAAAAGACGTTTAGCACCTGCATTTTGCACATCAAAATTCAACAATTTAATAGCCCAATAAGCTTTGTGCTCTAATTCCACCGGCAGGTGACATGCTTTTCCAAATACTAACCTATAAGGTGACATACCTATAAAGGTTGTCCTATATGCCCATAAAGCATCGTCTAACTTTATCGCCCAATCTTTTCTAAAGGCACTAACGGTCTTTTCTAAAATTCGTTTTAGCTCTTTATTAGAGACCTCTACTTGACCACTAGTTTGGGCATGGTAGGGAGTGGCTACCTTGTGTGTGACTCCATATTTCTTTAAGAGTGCATTAAATTGGTGATTACAAAAATGCTTCCCACCATCACTAATGATTGCCCTCGGAGTTCCATATCTCGTGAAAATATTCCGCCTAAGGAATTTGAGTACTATTCTAGAATCATTAGTTTTGGTGGCAATTGCCTCCGCCCATTTAGAAATGTAATCTACTGCCACAAGTATAAAAGTGTTTCCATACGATGATGGAAACAGTCCCATGAAATCAATACCCCAAATATCAAAAATTTCACATACCAATATATTATTTAAAGGCATCTCATCTTTCTTAGAAATATTACCTGTTCTTTGGCAACGATCACAGGAGAATACATACCTTTGAGCATCTCGAAACACAGTGGGCCAATAAAAACCTGATTGCAACACCTTTGCCACTATGCGATTCGCCCCGAAATGCCCTCCAGTTTCTCTATCATGGCAATGACTCAAAATAGCTCCAATCTCTTCTTCCAACACACATTTTCGAATAACTTGATCTGCACATAGTTTGTACAAGTATGGGTCTTCCCACAAATAATATTTGACATCAGCCAAATATTTCTTCCTTTGCTGGAATGTAAAATGCTTTGGAATCCAGCTCCTACAAGAAAATTAGCCAAATTAGCAAACCATGGAGATTTAGAAAAAGAAGAGCTAAGAGATAGAATTCGCTCATCAGGAAATTCTGCACTAATATCTCCCTCTTCAAGGAGTGAATTATCTAGTCAGGATAAATGATCAGCAACTTGATTGTCTATCCCCTTTCGATCTTTAATCTTCAAATAAAACTCTTGAAGTAGAAGGACCCATCTGATAAGGCGTGGTTTGGCATCCTTCTTAGCAAAGAGATGTCGTAGAGCTGCATGATCTGTGTAGACTATGGATTTCGTGCCTATGAGGTAGGATCTAAACTTCTCGAATGCGAAGACCACTGCTAGTAATTATTTCTTGGTTGTTGTGTAGTTCAGTTGCGGACCATTTAAGGTATGATTGGCATAGGATATGACCTGAAACATTTTTTCTTTCCTTTGACCGAGAGCAGCACCGATGGCATAGTCACTCGCGTCACACATAATTTCAAAGGGGTTGTTCCAATTTGGTGCGACCACTATTGGTGCTGTCACTAGCTTCTCTTTCAGCAAATTAAAGGTCTATAAACACTCAAAATCAAAGTTAAATTTCATATCCTTGGCAAGAAGATTAGATAGGGGTTTTGCAATTTTTGAAAAATCCTTAAAAAATCTTATATAAAATCCCGCATGGCCAAGGAAACTTCTGACTGCTCGAACCGTCGTTGGGGGAGGTAATTTTTCAATCACTTCCACTTTTACTTTATCAACCTCAATCCCTCGCTCAGAGATCTTGTGTCCAAGCACGATACCTTCTCGTACCATAAAATGACACTTCTCCCAATTCAGCACAAGATTTGATTCCTCACAACGCTGTAAAACTAACGTAAGATTTTGCAAACAAGATTCAAAGGTTAGTCCATACAACGTTAAATCATCCATGAAAATTTCTAGAAATTTTTCAGTCATGTCAGAGAAAATTGCCATCATGCAACGTTGGAAAGTAGCTGGCGCATTACATAAACCAAATGGTATACGTCGATAAGCGAACGTGCCATAAGGACAAGTAAATGTTGTTTTCTCTTGGTCCTCTAGAGCAATAGGAATTTGATAATAACCTGCATCGAGTAATTTTACCAGTTCCTTTCGTACCACTTCTTGCATGGCCGGATTTAATCTCCTTTGCGGTTGTATTGTTGGCTTGAAATTCTCTTCCATGAGGATCTTATGCATGCAGATGGAAGGGCTTATTCCCTTGATATCAGCAATTGTCCATCCCATCGCCTTCTTGTACTTCCTCAAAATGTCTAGCAGTGACTTCTCTTCCAAATCTGTCAAAGATGCAGAAATAATCATAGGATAAACATCTTTATCTAGAAAAGCATATTTTAAATGTGAAGGAAGAGGTTTAAGCTCAAGTTTAGAAGCCTCATTAGGGGTTTTATGCGAATCCTCCTTTAGCTCCATATTATTATCAGCCAGAGATTCTTTCTCTAACACTTCAGCTTCTTCTCTCAAGCACAGGTCTTCATCTTCTGTTGTGCTTGACTCTATTAGACATCTCTCCAAAGAGTCCTTCTACAAAACTTCTTCTCTGTGATCACCTACAATCCCACCAAAACTATCGGAGTGAAAACAAGATTCAATATAAAATGCAGTAGGATTTTTCATCGCTTTATGGACATCAAACATTATTTCTTCATCATTTAGTCTTAGAATTAATTTTCCTTGTTGCACATCTATCAGAGCATGAGCTGTCGCTAAAAATGGACGTCCCAAAATTAGAGGCACCTCTCGATCCTCCTCCATTGCAAGAACTACGAAGTCCGTCGGAAAGATAAATCTGTTGACCTTTAACAAAATGTCTTCAACAATGCCTTTAGGTCGTTTGATTGATCTATCAGCAAGCTGAAGCGACATGTTCGTCTCTTTCACTTCTCCAAGTCCTAGCTTCCTGAAAATTGATAAAGGCATTAAATTAATACTAGCACCTAAATCACGCAATGCTTTATCAAAGAATGAATCTCCTAATGCATAAGGTATAGTAAAACTCCCTGGATCTCTCAGTTTAGGAGGTAATTTATTTTGCAGTATGGCACTGCATTCTTCAGTAAGCATAACTGTTCCATGCTCCTCCATCTTCCACTTGTTAGAAAGGATGTCTTTTAAGAACTTTGTATAATTAGGCATCTATGCTAAAGCTTCAGCAAATGGAATATTTATTTGCAATTTCTTAAAGACCTCTAAAAACTTTGAAAATTGTTGATCCAGTTTATCCTTTCTAATTCTATCGGGATAAGGAAATTTAGATACATCTTTTTCAACAACAATAGAATCATAATTTGACATACCTTTTCCTTTAACTCTTGCAATTTCCTTTACCTTAGTCTCTGTCTCATTTTCTGAATTCGCTTTCTTTTCTTCAATAGAGACCGGTAACTCTGCTTCACTTTCCGCCTTCTTTTGTTATTCTTCTCCATCTCTCAAGGTTATGGCCTTACATTGCTCCTTCGGGTTCCTTTCCGTGTCACTAGGTAAATGCCCTTGTTGTCTACCCGAAATGATATTGGCCAACTGGCCAATTTGAACTTCTAAATTCTTGATGGAAGCCTCTTGATTCTGAATTCTTGTCTCTATAGTACTCAAGAACTTCGCCATCATCTCCTCTAAATTTGATTTCTTCTCTTGAGATTGAAAACCTGACGGTAGAGGTTTCACTTGATTGTTGTTACTCCAAGAGAAATTTGGGTGATTCCTCCACCCCGGATTATATGTTTCACTGTATGGATTATTATTAGGCCTGCAAAAATTTGAAACAAAGTTAGTTAGATCAGGCATTAAAATTAACAGCAAACATGTTACCTGATTGACACTCATGGTTAGGGTGATCTTCGCCACAAAAATCACACATTGAAGCAACTATTGCAGGTTTTTGCATTTGAAGTCCATCAATCTTCTTATTTAATGCCTGCATTTGTGCTACCAAAGCAGTAATAGCATCTATGTTATGAACACACGACATTCTTCTAAAAGGCAACCTCTATATCGGCCATTGATAAGAGTTTGAAGCCATTTCCTCCAACAATTCATAAGCTTGTTCTGGTGTCTTCTTACCTAAAGTACCACCCACAGCAGCATTGATCATATTTCGAACTTCACTATTAAGACCATTATAGAACATTTGGACTTGTAGACAAACCGGTAATTCATGGTGAGGACATCTCCGAAGCATGTCCTTGAACCTTTCCCATGCTTCGTATAATGACTCTGTATCCACCTGCACAAACATAGTAATATCATTACGCAATTGTGCAGTCTTTGCAGGAGGAAAATACCTACTCAGGAATTTTTGTGTCATTTGGTCCCAGGTTGTAATCGACCCTGCTGGTAATGAGGTCAACCAACTCTTAGCTTTGTCTCTTAATGAAAATAGGAACAATCTTAGTCTTATAGCTTCGTCGGAAACTCCATTGTGCTTAAAAGTATCACAAATCTCTAGGAAATTTGTAATATGTAAGTTGGGATCTTCATCTGCCAAACCACCAAACTGCACTCACTGTTGAATCATTTGGATGATTGCTGGCTTTATCTCAAAGGTGTTGGCATTTATCACTGGTCATCGAATGCTTGATGTTGCTCCATTTAGAGATGGGGTAGAAACTTGATGCGACTAAATCAACCTTAGCAAGTGCACTAGTTGTGTTCAAGTAATAAAGTGATGAGTTTGAGTATCGTCCCACAGAGATCAAAGCGAATATATGTAATTACCTAAAACAACCTACACGTTATTTGAGAAAATGAAATCTTAGAGTATAAAAGTAACGGATTAAAAATAACCAAATTAAACAAATAAATAATGAAGTTAGGTTACAGATTTCCCCCTAATTATGCTTGACAACCACTCTTAATACCTGTTTGTGCTATGAATTGGTAGGATTCTTCTAAGGCCAATTATCCTTATTCAGGCATAGTAGTCAACTTAATACAAATCCCTATTCGGTTACTCTAAAATTAAGAAGCATAAATTCATCAATCCCTTATGACTAATTCGCCCTATTCGGTTATGAATTAGATGGACCACAAATTAATCCTAGAATCTTTATTCGATTACTTCTAGTTTTAATATGTTGTGCAATGTTATTCCCATAGAACAATTATGAATATGAATTAAGCAATAAACCCTAACTTCTCTATTCAAAACATCATCAAGGTAATTGAATCAATCCAACATTCATAAAGCATTAAACCTAAACTCTTGTACAAATTCATAAACATAAATCTGGTATTAAGAATAAAAATTGTTCAAGACATAATTAGGGTTTCATCCTCCCCTAACAAAAGAGATTTACTCCATCCTAAAAACAAAGAAATAAATAGAGAAGAAGGAAAACATATTCAGATTTGAAAAGAAATAAAAATCAAACTCTTAAATCTGATCTTCAGTTTTCAAGCCTCAAGAATGCGTCTTTTCCTCTCAAAAATATGCAAAATTCGTCCCTTGACAACTGATCTCAATTATACTTAAATACCCAAAAGAGTCCTAAGTGAAAAAGGAAAGAAAAACTGATAAAAACGCGCTAATAGTTTCCGCCACAACCCTGGCCGTGGCCAAATTTAAGTCACCACAGCCTAGGCCATGGTGCTTACTGGTCTCTTTGTTTTCTCTTTGTTCCATCACCATGGCCATGGTGAACTACCAAGGCATGGCCGTGGCCTTCAAGACTGAAGGGTAATCTCAACTTCTTCAAGCTTTAAGTCCCAATTTCATTCCAATACTCCAATCTAATCAATCAAAGCCTAAAAAAAAACACAAAAGTTATCCAAATCAATAGGTAAACCATTCATATCTCAAACTTAACAAAAACAAACTTCAAAACAAAGGAAAAAAATGAGAAGTTAACTAAACTAACATCAAAACAACCCTAAAATACTAAACTAACATCAAAACAACCCTAAAAACACTCAAATTATGCAACTTATCATCTAGCGATGAGGCTATCTTTGCCAAGGCATCTGCCACAGAATTGCTATCTCTAGGAATCTGTGTGATCGTGAAGTGCTTGAACGGCTCAAGTGTGGCCTTAGCTTTCTTCAAATAGCTGATCATATTTTCTTTCTTGGCCTGGTATTCCCCCAAATTCTAGTTGACAACCAGCATGGAGTCACTGTAGATGCTGATCGCGGTTGATCCCATTTCTCTGGCTAACCGCTATCCAGCGAGTAGAGCTTCATACTCAGCCTCATTATTAGTCGCTTTGAACCCAAACCAAAGGATGCCATGAATACGAGTCCCCTCGGGACTTAAGAGGAGAAGACCTATCCCGACCCTCTTCCTGTTCGATGATCCGTCGACACATAGGCTCCAGGTCGACAGATTCTGAATAGTTTCTTGGCTGACTTCGCCGGCCTGTTGCTCAAGTTCCTTGGTCGAATGATATGAGAATTCCGAAATGAAATCAGCACCAGCCTGCCCTTTGATGGTTGCTTTCGGTCTATATTGCAGATCGAACTGACTTAGTTTCATGGCCCCATTTGAGTAATTTACCCGATGCCTCTGGTTTTTGGAAGACCTGCTTGAGCGAGTGACTTGTCATTACATAGATTATATGGGCGTGAAAGTAAGGTCGCAACTTTCGGGAAGCGATCAGCAGGGTATAAGCTAATCGCTCCATTTCTGGATACCACATCTCGGCATCCAGTAGACGCTTGCTCGCATAATACACTGGCCATTGAACCTTGCTCTCCTCCCGAACTAATGTTGGATTGACCGTGCACTGAGAGACGGACAAATACAAAAGTAGAATTTCTTGCGGAAGAGGCTTGGATAGAAGATGTGGTTTTCCAAGGTGCTCTTTGATACTCTGAAATGTCTGTTCGCACTTAGGAGTCCACTCAAACTTCTTATTGGCCCTGAGAATGTTGAAGAATCGCAAGAAGCGATCTGTTGCCCTCGATATGAAGCGACTGAGCGTCGTTATTCTCCTATTGAGGCTTTGAACCTGTTTTAGGTTGGTCGGGCTTTTCATATCGAGGAGAGTTTGGATTTTCTCGGGGTTGATCTCTATTCCCTGCTGGTTAACCATGTACCCTAGGAATTTTCCTAAGGATACCCCAAATGAGCATTTGAAATGATTGAGCTTCATTATGTATTTTCGGAGGGTGTCGAACATCTCAGCGAGATGTGCTATGTGATCTGAAGCCACATGCGACTTGACTAGCATGTCATTGACATAGACTTCCATCGACTTCTCGATCTGCTCGAAAACATTCGGTTAACCAATTGCTGGTAAGTTGCACCAGAATTCTTTAGACCGAAGGGCATAAATCTGTAGCAATACAGGCCCCAATCTATTACAAAAGAGGTATGCTCTTCGTTCGACGCATACATCAGAATTTGATTGTACCCCAAGTATGCGTCCATAAAACTCAGCAGCACGTGCCCAGAGGTGGCATCCACAAGCTGGTCGATCCTTGGTAGGGGAAAACTGTCCTTGGGGCAGCCTTTATTGAGGTCGGTGAAGTCCACACAAGTCTGCCACTTGCCATTGGGTTTCTTTACTAGAATTGGGTTGGAAACCCAGCTCGGGTAGAGCGCTTCTTAGATGAACCCATTCTAAAGGAGGTTATCTACCTCGATTTTTAAGGCAACATACCGTTCTGAATCCATCACTCTTTTTCTTTGGCAGACCGGCTTGGCTTCACTATCGATGTTCAAGGCATGGCAAATGATGTTCGGGTTAATCCCGACCATATCGGCATGCGTCCATGCGAACACATCAATACTTTCTTTGAGGAAGCTGATCAGGTCGTTAGCGAGCTGGGGGTTGAGATTGCTTCCAATCATCAACACTCAACTCGACTCGCTCTAGTCGACTGACACTTTTGCTAGATCTTCAACTGGCCCACTGGCAGGGCATTCCTGGATACGAGGATCCATATTATCCTCGGCTGGGCCAGACTGCGGTTTCATCTTACTGATCGCCATTGCCTATTTGGGAATGCCACGCGAGATGCCTTTCCCTTTGCATGCCATCTGCACTACCTTTACAAAGCAGTCTCGAGATACGAATTGAGATCCGCTTACTTCCTCTATCCCGATTGGGGTGGGGAACTTCACTTTGAGATGATAGATCGAAGTGACTGCTTTGAAGTTCCTCAGTAGAGATCGCCCTAGAATGCCATTGAAAGCG